CTCTCTCTCTCTCTCTCTCTCTCTCTCTCTCTCTCTCTCTCTCTCTCTCTCTCTCTCTCTCTCTCTCTCTCTCTCTCCCCCACCCCCTGCCCCCAAGGCTATGGCAAAAACCAGCTTGAGAATAGCTTCGGAGGAAGGTGTGCTTTCAGTCATGCAAATGTCAAAAGTCTGATACAGGCAACCTATTATACTCCTACCTCCTCCTTCCTCCCGTGCCATGCCACGTGGCCGCGTGGCACAGTTTCTTTTCTTCTTATGATCATTCTCATCGCCGTTGTCCTCCTCCTCCCTCCTCCTCCTCTGTCCTCCTCTTGTGGCGTACAAATTTCTTTTTGCTCTCGTCGTTGTCATCCTCCTCCCTCCTCCTCCTCCTCCACCATCCTCCCCGTCTCCCCTACTCCTCATCCCCCATCCTTCCTCTTCCTCCTAATCCTTCTCCATCCACCTCATCTCCGCTAGTCCTCCGCCCTCCTCATCCTCCTTCGTCCTTCTCCATCCTCCTCGTCTTCTCTAGCTCTCCTTCCTCCTCCTTCCTCCTTTCTCGTCCTGTGTTGTAGCCATGTTGCACATTCCTCTTCTTCCTCCTCCATCCTCGTCTCCCCTAATACTTCTTCCTCCTTACACTTTCCTCCTACCTCCTTCCTCCTCTCTGCTCCCGTTGTGCACCACATGGCACACCTGCACACCATTTCATTTTCATCGTGTTCTCATCCTTGTCATCATCCTCCTCCGTCCTCCTCGTTCTTCTCATCTCCCCTCATACTCCTTCCACCTCCATCCTCCTGCCTCCTCTGTCCTCCAATCGCGTGCCACGTGGCACACCGACACGTGATTCTTTTTCTTCCTTGTTCTTGTCCTCGTCATCCTTTCCCCACATGATTCTTTTTTTTTCCTTGTTCTTGTCCTCACCATCCTCTCCTCCTCCTCGTTCCTCCTCCCTCCTCCTCCTCCTTCCTCCAGCTTCCTCCTCCCCCCTCCTCCCTTCATCCTGTTTCCGCCTCCGCCTTCCTTCTCTGGTCGCATGCCACGTGACACACCAGCATCCGACTTTTTTGGTCTTGTTCCCGCACTCATCCTCCTCCTCCTCCCCCCTCCATCCGACTTTCTCTCAATCCCTCAGTGTATTTTTCCTCATCTATCTCACCCTCTAGCTACTCTATGTATGGCATGGGGGAACTTCCTACTTTAAAAAGGTTGTGAGAGAAATCATCTAACTGGGCCGGAGACCATGTCTCACATAATAGAGCTCTCCAGTCCCATGGCCATGCTATTTGAGTATTGAGGGCAGTCCAAATCCTATCCCACCAACCAACCTGGATCTCTCCCCAGCCCGCAGAGTAGATCCGCACCACAACGGTGGTGCGAGAGCAAGGCTGTAGCAGCCCCTCATCATGGTGATGCGGGGTGGGCAAGCATTGCCGACGGGGGAAACTGGTGGTGCGAGTGCCAAGCACTATGGCAAATTGCTGCACCTCCCCCTAACCCTCCCTAACCCTATATTAGCAGCTGTCTCTTATACACATCTAGATGTGTATAAGAGACAGCCACAACGGTGGTGCGAGAGCAAGGCTGTAGCAGCCCCTCATCATGGTGATGCGGGGTGGGCAAGCATTGCCGACGGGGGAAACTGGTGGTGCGAGTGCCAAGCACTATGGCAAATTGCTGCACCTCCCCCTAACCCTCCCTAACCCTATATTAGCAGTGTCTAATGGCCAATAGCGTTGCTGCATAGCAACAAATAATATTGGCCAAGGTCCTGCCAATGCTCGCTTGGGGGGCCAACAGGTTATCTCCTCCTCTTCCTCCCTCCTCTTTCACACCATGTTTTCTATCTTGTTCTCCTCCCTCCCCCCTCTTTCCTCCTCTTCAACCGTCACATGCCATGTGGCAAACAGGCACACAATTTTTTTCATCTTGTTCTCATTCTTTTCATCCTCCTCCTTTCCTCCTCCTCCCAGTTTGTCTCCCCTCATCCTCCACTGTCTTTCCTCCTTCCTCCTCCGCCTTCCCCCTCCCTCCTCCTTCCCCCTCCCTCCTCCTTCCCCCTTCCTCCGTCTTTGCTCCTCCTTCCTTTCCCCCTCCCTCCTCCTTCCCCCTTCCTCCGTCTTTGCTCCTCCTTCCTCCCCTCTCTCCTGTTGCATGCCACGTTGACACAATTTTTTTTCATCTTGTTCTCATCTTCTTCATGCGCCTCCTTTCCTCCTCCTTGCTGTTCGTCTCCCTTCATCCTCCTCTGTCCTTCCTCCTCCGCCTTCCATGTGGCAAACAGGCACACAATTTTTTTCATCTTGTTCTCATTCTTTTCATCATCCTCCTCCCAGTTTGTCTCCCCTCATCCTCCACTGTCTTTCCTCCCTCCTCCGCCTTCCCCCTCCCTCCTCCTCCCCCCTTCCTCC